TCTCTCTCTCTCTCTTCTGTCTCCCTCTCTCTCTCTCTGTCTGTCTGTGTGTCCTGCAGTATGACCTGTCGGCCTCCACCTTCTCTCCAGATGGTCGAGTGTTCCAGGTGGAATATGCGATGAAGGCTGTGGAGAACAGCAGGTCAGTCTCTCTACGTTATCACATCCACTGAATCACTGTAAATAAAGAAGGACGAGACGACGGCTCCGTACACACACAGAAATCCCAGAAACTGAAAAGAGCCCTAAAGAAGCCAGGAATGATTGAACACACCGGACTCAAACCACAAACCATTGGTATATTTTGTAGTGTCCGCAGTGGACATGAAATACCACAACAAACAATACATGGAACAGTTACCCATAAGTTACCATGGTGATTTACTTCGATATGAAGTCAGTGAGCTTAGTGGGACTGAAAAAACTCTGAACTAAAGTTACCCTGATAACCACAAGTCCTGCTTCAAGGTCCAGGGATCTGGTGATGATGTTCGTCTTCTACGGCTCCTCTTCTTCATCGTGAGATACTTGTGTTCTTCCAGTTTCACGTCCGTCACGTGTTAGAAACCTCAGAGACACGTCCGCTCGCTCACTGGGAAGGTTCCAGATGTTTTCCTGCAGTTTTCTCACATGGGTTCACTCTGACATTTTACTAGAGGCTGCCGGAGAAGATCCAGAAAATGTCCAGAGACACTGACTCAGACATTTGTTCTCGCTAGTGTACCTTTTGGTACCGGTACCAACATGTATGTAGATACTTTTCAGTACTTTTCCAAATAAAAAGAGAACATAAAAAATATGTCATTGACGTTGTTTTAATAGAAAATCTTAGAACTATAACATTATGCATCAGTAAATAAAATAAGATACCACAAAGACAGTCTTTAATTTTTCCAGCGCTACTTTTGTGGAGAGTGAAGGCGGCTGGCGTCGCTTGCTTTTAGCACTGGCTGTTTTTTTTTCAGGGGTATATAAGTTGTTACCTTATATTGTTTTCCTTCAAGTGTTTTGTCAAGTTGGAAGTGTTTCCACCCTTGGCCACATGTTTGTAACACCGTTTGCACAGTGGTGCATCGGTGTTCATGGCTTCACTGTGCTCATTGTTTTCAAGCTGAAGTAAATCCATGGAGCACTTCGTGCACCTGGATTATCTACGAGTTGCGGCGTGGTGACGGTTGCAGCCGCTGCCATTCTCTCTCTGCTCCTGTCTCTCACTCTCTTTCTCTCCTTTATCTCTCTCTGTCGCCAGACTCCTGCTCCGTTAATTGCTCTGCGCTGCGCGCTCACTCGCTCGCCTGCTCGTCCCGGCTTGCTCGCTTTGGCTCAAATTACAACGCGGTGACATCACACGCCGCGTAAAAGATAAAAGTATCGGCCTTATCCAAGCGCTGTATAGTACCATTTTAAATGCATCACTACCCCGGTACTAATTTAGTACCAGTATACCGAACAACCCTAGTTCTCCCATACAGAACATGTGAGAAACATGTGAGGAACATGTCAGTGGTTCAGTTCATGTCTGAAAACATCAAGTTTTTGAAAACTGAATTTGTCTCATAATATTTTTTCCATTCTGAACGTTCACCTCCTTCACACAGATATGTAGGATACTATGTTGGAGAAATGTAGCTCACTGAACCCACCTCAGACTTCACACTTGTGTGTTTGTGTGTGTGCAGCACGGCCATCGGTATCCGTTGTAAGGACGGTGTTGTGTTCGGAGTGGAGAAGCTTGTTCTGTCCAAACTGTACGAGCAGGGTGCCAACAAACGCATCTTCAACATTGACAGACACGTTGGCATGGTAACCACACACACACACACACACACACACACACACACACACACACACACACACGCTGAACTGTTCTGGATGAGTGTGGTGTGACATGATTGGAGCATTTGGTGCAGGTGATGATGTCAGCGCCCTCTCTCTCCCTCTCTCTCCCTCCCCAGGCTGTAGCTGGCCTGTTGGCTGATGCTCGCTCTCTTGCTGAAGTCGCCAGAGAAGAAGCCTCCAGCTTCAGATCAAACTATGGACACGACATTCCCCTGAAGGTAAACGTTGGCCTCAGATCAGCCTCTTGTTATTGTTGCTGTCACACAGGAACACACTGTGTTAACTCTGGGTTTCACGGTTTCACTCAACAATTTAAACATTTCGGTTGTTTGTCAGTGTTTCAGAGTCATGCAGTTAATGTTGCTACAGGTAACAGTCCCACGTCTGATGCTAAGCTAACAGTGCTTCCTGTTGTTGCAGCACCTGTCGGACAGAGTGGCCATGTACGTCCACGCCTACACACTGTACAGCGCTGTGAGGCCGTTTGGCTGCAGGTGAGTGAGACGGCTTCACACTGATTATTACATCAGCATCGCATCAGCTGCTGCGTTCAGAGACAACAGGGCTAACAGTGGCTTCACCAGTCTGTTAAAGTTTCAGTGTGTAGAATTTTGTGACATCTAGTGGTGAAGTGTCATGTTGCAGCTGAATACCTCTCCCCTTCCAAACATGACATAGAACCTTGTCATAAAAACATTTGGATACTGTGAAAAACATGGCGGCCTCCATAGAGATGTAAATCTAAAGTTTTTCAATATAAAGGTCCATTCTAGGCCAAAGAAAACAACAATTGATACGATTGAGATGAAACACACTCATTAAAACATCAATAGAGTAGCGTGCTCACAAATGAAGTTGCGTGCTCACATCGAACATATTTTAACTTCATAACTCACGTTTGTCTTGTGACCGTCGTCATTAGGAAACAAACTACGCCACTTGATGCTGAAAACCATCAGCACATTTGTCAACTGTTTCACTGCGTGTTTACGTGAATTGGGTCTAGAGAGTATACTCTTTTTGTCTCCACAATAGCGACACCTAGTGGTTGGAGGCTTTATGTTTTCAGATTCGTCCGTCTCATTATTGTGAACACGACATCTCAAGAATGTGTTGAGGTGAAATGTTCATTTACGACACGATTTGATTTGGGAGGTCAAAGGCCACATTGACCTCATGAGTCTGGAAATAAAATTTAGATGTAGACTTTGTCTTTCTGCAGTTTCATCCTTGGCTCATACAACAAAGACGACGGTCCCCAGCTCTACATGGTCGACCCGTCCGGCATCTCATACGTGAGTCCAACACGCTACAGTCACTTCACTGGACAGCAGGGGACAGTGGTAGCGCCAAGAGGTCGATGAAGATTCAGCAAACAAGACAGATTATAGACGACAGTCAGACGTTAGCGTTGGTGGTTGAGTTAAATAGTTCTCATATTGTTAAAAGATTTTCTTTACTGACAGATGGCTTGATATTTTATGTATCTTTACTTTTATATGAATGTGTTGAGTATTGACGAGGAGACCTGAGGAGAATTCAGCTCCTGATTAAAAACCTCCTGAACCATCAACACTGAAGGAATCCAACATAAATATCAAATGAAATGCTGCAAGTCGCACAACGTAAATGTTTGTTACACTTTTCCTGACACGGTCCCCATTAGACCAGTAACCTAACTGTGTTTGTGTGTTCAGGGTTACTGGGGCTGCGCCATCGGAAAAGCAAAACAAGCCGCCAAGACAGAGATTGAAAAACTGCAGGTGAGTTTCTCATTTCCCACAGTCAGGATCGTCAAATGCAGCTCAGAGCAGAGACAGTAAAGTCATTTCTCTGAAGCTAGAGTCCTGCAGCTCTATAGAAACACGCTTCAACAGTCATGAAGCAGAAAATTGATTTAATGTTTGTGTTTGTCAGATGAAGGAGATGACGTGCAGAGAACTGGTCAAAGAGGTCGCCAAAATGTGAGTCACCGAATCCACATGAACCTGAATTCATCAGCCGCTTAACTGGATCTGTTAAACTCAAGTTGAGACAAAGGTCCTGACAGTTGTTTCTTCATTCTGCTGCAGTCATCACACTGAGGATCGTTAGTTTCAGTCTCTAGTTTCAGTCTCTAGTTTCAAGTCTTCTTCAAACAGCTGATGTTCGTTTATCAATTATGATCATTTCGAGTCAAACAGACCAGAAAGCCAGTATGGGGGGAGGTACCACAGTGTGATTGACGGGCAGTACCCTCCAATGGGTGCAGTTGACAGGTGTAGGTGGGCGTGCAGACGTTAGCCGATGCAGCAGAATCGTTCCTGTCGTCAGAGTTTCACATGTATGTCAGAGCTGTTTTTGCTCTAATGACAACACGTGTGTTTTTATTCTCTGAGTCTGTCCCGTTTCATTTTTCCAGAATCTACATCGTTCATGACGAGGTGAAGGACAAATCGTTTGAGCTGGAGCTCAGCTGGGTCGGAGAAGGTAAGAACCAATCAGTGCTCTGCTTTTCTTCTCCTTGTTCTGATCTGTCCATCCGTCGTTGTTCCTCCACAGTCTCTCCACTAATTCTGTTTATTCTCCCCCTCTCCCCTCCAGTCACTAATGGACGACACGAGCTGGTTCCTAAAGATGTTCGAGAGGAAGCAGAGAAATATGCCAAGGTGAGCAGGTCACTCCTGTGCCCCCCCCCCCCTGCAGCTCCACCCATCCATTCTCTTTGTTTTATCAGTTTCTTCAGTCGTGTGATTCTGGTGTTTTTCTTCTCTCAGGATTCTTTAGAGGAGGACGACGACTCTGATGAAGACAACATGTAAACCCCTCCCCCTCGTCCCTGCCTA